ATATCCCGACACGATAAGTATCCTGGATACGCGCCCCAACAGCCCCTATATACAATATCCCGACACGTTAAGTATCCTGGATACGCGCCCCAACAGCCCCTATGTACAATATCCTGACACGATAAGTATCCCTGTCTCTTATACACATCTAGATGTGTATAAGAGACAGCTTGTGTACTGACTGGCAAGAGCCCCTGCGTGCTGAGTGGCATGAGCCCCTGCGTGCTGAGTGGCATGAGCCCTTGTGAACTGAGTGGCAAGAGCCCTTGTGTACTGAGTGGCATGAGCCCTTGTGTATTGAGTGGCACGAGCCCTTGTGTACTGAGTGGCAAGAGCCCTTGTGTACTGAGTGGCATGAGCCCCTGCGTGCTGAGTGGCATGAGCCCTTGTGTACTGAGTGGTATGAGCCCTTGTGTACTGAGTGGCAAGAGCCCTTGTGTACTGAGTGGCATTAGCCCTTGTGTACTGAGTGGCATGAGCCCTTGTGTGCTGAGTGGCATGAGCCCTTGTGTACTGAGTGGCATGAGTCCTTGTGTACTCAGTGGCATGAGCCCTTGTGTGCTGAGTGGCATGAGCCCCTGTGTGCTGAGTGGCATGAGCCCTTGTGTGCNTATCGCTGCTGTTATCGCTGCTGTTATCGCTGCTGTTATCGCTGCTGTTATCGCTGCTGTTATCGCTGCTGTTATCGCTGCTGTTATCGCTGCTGTTATCGCTGCTGTTATCGCTGCTGTTATCGCTGCTGTTATCGCTGCTGTTATCGCTGCTGTTATCGCTGCTGTTATCGCTGCTGTTATCGCTGCTGTTATCGCTGCTGTTATCGCTGCTGTTATCGCTGCTGTTATCGCTGCTGTTATCGCTGCTGTTATCGCTGCTGTTATCGCTGCTGTTATCGCTGCTGTTATCGCTGCTGTTATCGCTGCTGTTATCGCTGCTGTTATCGCTGCTGTTATCGCTGCTGTTATCGCTGCTGTTATCGCTGCTGTTATCGCTGCTGTTATCGCTGCTGTTATCGCTGCTGTTATCGCTGCTGTTATCGCTGCTGTTATCGCTGCTGTTATCGCTGCTGTTATCGCTGCTGTTATCGCTGCTGTTATCGCTGCTGTTATCGCTGCTGTTATCGCTGCTGTTACCGCTGCTGTTATCGCTGCTGTTATCGCTGCTGTTATCGCTGCAGCTGCAATTAATATTTTTGCTGTTGAAATTGTTGGTGTTTTTTAACGTGCTCGTGCTCTTTTATGTGCTATTTACGACATTCATATACATATTTCTAGTATTTATGTTAGCAGTGAGTTGCGCGTTCGAGACCGCAACGAGCTGTGAATATTCTGTGATGTTAGTAGAGTAGATATTAACGATATCTACTTTATTGTCTGCATCATTGATTGTTTTTTTTTTGTTCTGGCCATAATAATGATTCCATTGTATGGGACGGCGATATTGTGCACGCTTGTGACATTTTTACGGTGACAATATAAACTAGTTGTTTATTTCTTGAATGTTATATATTATTAAATAAATAATTGGTTCTAGCTATAATTGGCAGGTTAGCCAGGCTTTGCACGGGGTTGATAGTATTCCTGTAATTTTAGAATATTTTTATCCAGAATCCTGTTAGTAATAACATAAGTAGACTTTGATTATAAAATAAAGATCTCTTCAATTTCAAATTTTAGATGTAACAGAATTTCCAATAGATTCACATCTCGAAATATGGAAAAAGTTATTTCGTTTATTTGAATTAGAATGATATACACAATTTAAACGTATTTTTAAAATTGCTTTTCATATATATACTTTATTACTTTACTTTATATACCAAAATTGTTTCTCATATAATTAGAGGCAAAATAGTTTTTCCATACCTGAATTAATACTAGAGTATATTGGGAGTTATTTGTTTTATTTAAAGTTTCGGGTTGAAGAGGCCTTTTATCAATTAGCGACCAGATGCTATATTATAATTAACGGGATTTTTGTCAAGTTTCGTAACGTTTTGATGTCCTGATGCTAGGAATAAACTTTCAGGTGTAGGCAATATCCCGACACGATAGGTATCCAATGTTGTCGCTGCTGTTATCGCTGCTGTTATCGCTGCTGTTATCGCTGCTGTTTTCGCTGCTTTTATCGCGGCAGTTGCAATTAATATTTTTGTTGTTGAAGTTGCCGATGTTTTATCATTACCAGTCGTTTTTATAGGTCATGATTATTGGTTATCACCATTGGTTATAATGATGATTCATGTTTGTAGGTCGTGATAGCGAGTCATCACCTGCAACATCAATAAAACTATTTTGCAGCGTTCTCGAGAATATTGAATTTTCAAAGTTAAAGTATATTTTTGACGACATTCATATATTTTTAGTATTCATGTCAACAATATTTGCTTTATTGTCTGTAT